ATCGACCAGACTACACGGCGCAACAACCCAGAAGACGGAAATCTTCATACTCGCCGCCGTGAAAATCTCAAATATCTTTCACCTAGTGTTTTACGTATGTAGGGATATAGCCCTTCACATATCTTCCCCCCACCCAAAAAAAATAGGGAATAAGGATATGAATGAGATAATCCGCAATTATAAAAACAAACACAAACGTTCAAATAGTTTAAAGTTCGTTTTGAGCACCAAGAAATAGCAAGAGTTACATTAAATCGAAACGGACAAGAATTAAATTTGGCGACAACTTTCAGTGAAGACACCAAGCACCATATTTATTTTTGTTACCCGTCAAAGAACTTGGGTACGTAATACTCGAACAGACATAAAGACATTACTCCCCATTACACATTTATTCGATTCGCTGTGTGCAACTAACAACAGCAATTTAGTGCATAGCATTCTAGCTTAGTATTTGAATGACCCTTGGGTTCGACCCCAACCGTGCCGATCTTCTACGTTTCGAAGACTGACTTCATTCAATGGGCCCCACAAAGCAGACACAAGGGGTCTCCGAAACGTTGTAGGTTTCAGAATTACAATTTTCCAATTTCTAAATGCCTGCCAAAGTATCAAAATACTGGAATTTCTTTCATAAAATTCTATGGGCTCACCGGTTGTCGTCACCTGTACCAGAATTTAGAGCACGCTTTTGAACTGGATGCAGAGAAAATGCAGTAGAAGGCCACGACTGCCAGCAAAAAGTGTTACCACACGCTGTGCAATTTGAAGAAAGTCAGTTGTACATAATGTGACGCAGGGGGCCATGACCTACAGTCTGTCTAGCAGTGAGAATGGACTTTAATCTTGCAGGCTGTTACTTCTAAAGGCACTAACCAAACGAAGTCCGATATTCCGTTTCTGTCTTGTCGGCTCCACTCTCTTTGTGACTGAAACTTGCGAGACACTTCTTTTGAGTTTTGAAGTAATACCGACTTCCTTTCTAAAACCTATGCAAGTAACATTGTTTCTTGCAGAGATAAATAAATAGAACGTCTCTGTCACATCGCTGTCCTTGTTCGAGTAACCTCTGACCTCCACTCTGTTGTAATTTGTCGAGTGGTTTGACTCAGAACTGGAAAATTAATCTTCAGTACTTGATCATCCCCAGTTAACTAAAACATATTGTATCGGACTAGAGACTAACCTAGTGAGGATGACAATGCTGTTCTTGGATGTGACTCACCCTGAAGATGGAGACAATATGCATCTGCGAAACGTTGGTATCACACTAATTGCGATTAGAAACTCTAAATGAAACATGTCCCTAAACTCATTTAACTTATAAATAAGTCCTCCACAACGTAAATTTAGTAAATCGGCAGATACAAATAATTCATAATCATTCATAAATTCAATCAACATTTCCAAACACGTTCAGTCTAATAAACATAACAAATAAACAACAAACTCCGTAGAGCAGATACCTTCTTGAGAAACTAACAGTTAGTTGCTCATATACTCAAGAAATTCACCATCTTTCCAGAAACCGGAAAGTTCATTATAGTGTTCACAACAGCCCTCAGACGACATTATCCTGAGCCAGACGAATTCAGTTCACATCTACTCCCTATTTTAAGATTCATTTTAATATTATCTTTCCATCCACGACAAGGTCTTAAGAGTGGTTTCGCCCCCTCAGGCTTCCCAACATAAACTGCTACATGCCCCGACCATCTTGCAGTCCTTTAATTTGATCGTCTTAATAATATCTGGCGAAAAGTACAAATTATGAAGCATCTCATTACGCAGTTTTTCTCCAGTCACTTCATCCCTCAGCCAGCCTCAATCTGCGTTCTTCACTTAACGTGAAACGCAGAGCAGATTGGACTTCTTTTTAATGTTTACGTTTCAGATAGCAGCGTACTAAAACTCGGAAAGAGAAAAAAACTGAAGGAATTAAAGAAGTAATGAATTCATGAATGAGGAACTGTTCTAACAAAAACGAAATACGGTGAATTTAAATGACAAATCAAAGAGTTAATTTGGCACTGAATTCGTTCTGGAGGTGGTGGCAAAGATAAAGGTCGAATCATTTCTGGTTTTCACATCCTCGTGATTTTATCACTCCAATAACATTTGGTAAAGAATACAAATTATGAAGCTCATCATTATGCATTTAAAGTAGCCAAATCTATGTGAAAATATTTCAAACTCTGATCGTGTGTTCGCCCTGTTAGCTCGTATACGTTTCTCTTATTCGGTTCAATTTGTAGTTTCCACCAACGGTATGATAACATAAAAAGCAGAGACACTTTAATTAATTTCGCAGAAAAGCACTGGCAAACAAAATGAGAAACCCCTACTTCGTTTTCAATTTCTTTGAAATTCCCTTCTCAAACAGCGACTGTAATCTCTGTTCGTTCTAACTTTCACTGCTTCGTCCATTCCTCGTCTCCCTCCACCCCACACCCTCCTTTCCTTAAATTTATCAGATCTCTTCCTCCTAACTTATTTCTTCGATATAAGTCATAAGCTATTTTGTGGAAAGTTTCTTCGAACGGACTTGATATCAGTTGGATAAGGCATTCATTCCAGTGATCAGAACACCCCCCCACCCCTTCTCCATTACCCACAGCTTTAACACAAAATACATATCAGAATTTCTAAATTCATATCGGACTATTTTCGCAGGAAGGGAGCCTAATTAAACGCTCAACAGATTTTATCGTTCAATCCAGATTAGCATTAATACCAGTAAATTACTCTACATTTTCCATTTCCTTTCTTCTTTCAATTCGTATTTTTATTTTTTATCAGTGATAAAATAGTTTCTATGTTTCTTTCTTCTTCCAAACGTTTGCCTTCTTTTGTCGCATTATATTGAGTTCATTAACACCTACGCATACATTACACGTACTGTTTTGTATGCTGTGAAAATCTCGTTGCTCTGTCCGAAATTATTGAACACACTTCTTTTCCCTTAAATCGCCTACAAAAGTTTATTATCTGCCCACATATTCCCATGTGTTCGTATGAAAATTAAAGTCCAGTTTCATAAATTCTCTTTAAAACGGCTACTCATTCAAAACGATACACAACAAAATATAGTCCTCATTAGTATCTGCAACTTTCGTACGAATATTTTTTCGGCAGGGCCCTGATGATCGAGACAGCAATCTTCAGACTCACCGCCATCAAAAACCTCAAATCCTACATCCCAAGCAGTTCTTTAGGCCCCTCTACGTCTGCGTCTCTTACTGTCTATTCCTGTGACACGCCGCTGACAGGACAAAAGCTACTCCAAAAATTCTGTGCCTTCTCTTGGGATTCAATTAATTCCAGCACTTTTTATTATCGGCTTCTCCCTTACAGTAGTCAAGTTACAAGGCCCTGATTAAAACCATTCCAAATCCAAGGAACCTGTAGACGCTATTACTTGACTTAACAGCTCAGCAAAACCAAGATATCCCTATCGTAATTTTATATTCCCTTTGAAAGATTCGCGCTAAGAAGTGGGAATTGCTAATTGCTAGGCCGAGAATCAACGAGATTATAAACTGCAATTTCGAAAACAGAAGCGAAGGGCCCATTCAATTGCGTGCAATAAGCTCCGGGAATAACATTTATTCAAAAGCTTATTCATGAGTGGATTCATACAGAACATGTACATGATGTAACACATACACGTATGTACATACAAACATAAACTATAAACTAATAGTAATATTACTTAGCAATGCACTTTTGCACGTAATTAAGACTAGTGCAAATTTCGACCACACCAAAGAGAGATTTCAGGTTTTCACAGCGACGAGTAGGATTTCTGTCTTCAGAGATGTTGCACCGTGTAGTCTGGTAAAAGTTTACCGACGTTTCAGGGTCATCATTCTTTTCATGACGGAGCATCAATCACCTCTGAAACGTCGGTAAACGTCTATTATACTACACGGCGCAATATCCCAGGAGACAAGTCATCTTCTGATTACAATAAATTTAAAAGTATCGTGTAGTCGCGTCGCATTCCTGTAATTTTAAAAAAAATATGGAACCATTTTTCTAGTCATAATTAGTACATTCATGATCAATCTCAATACAAAATTTGACATGCGCAAATCAATAATTCGTTATTTGTCTTATGACTAATTTAACTTATGGTATGTCCCGAATGTTTTATTTTCGGATAACAGCGATACACCATTTTATAACTATACTAGATTGCTCCAGTGTAAGTTCCACCTCAGAAGATCGCAGTAACGCCATGTTGTTGTTCATGATGGCAGGAAAATCAAAAAATACAAAACAGGAGTAACGTTCAGTGGCGCCATACTTCCACGTTTCATTACAATTCGACGGTTGGTTCAAACGCAGGCACTCGAAAACAAAAACATCTCAATTTCTCGATCATAAAAATTAGGCTAAACAAATATTAGAAAGCCAGCTGTTCAGGTGAAGCATTTTAGGGTTCTAAAACATAAAACTTTGTAGGTTTAATGCTGTTGGTATTTCCCGCAAATGCATCTGTAATAAGAGCATACACTAACTTTGTATCCTTACTTAATATGCCAACTGAGCGAGCAAGTTAACAACTCGCAGTTCAGTGACACCAAACTTTCTTTTCAGGGTTAAGATACCTACGTTCCAACGGGGTCGACTGTGGAGAAGAGTTTGCCACGGCGATGCGTGTATAAAATATCGGATGTTAGCATTCAGCCAACTCAAAATGTAAACAGTCAAACAACAGACACAGAGATAAGTCAAAAATGTAATGGCTCAACAGCATAAAGTCTGTGTGAAACAACACAAACAAATGTAATAGTTAATGTTTACCAGCAGATTTATAACTTCTGCTTACACTGTATTTTATTCGGCTGTTTTGCAATTTCCCCCCCTCCCCCCACCAGTGACATCTTACCTCTCCTCACGCGCAAGGCACAGGCCACGAAAAAGAATCCGAACTGTAGCAACCGACACGAAGTTACGTCCCACGGCACATTTCAACAGAGGCGCAAACATGTTACCTGTGTAAATTTCTCCGGGCTCGTATTTGTCGGGATTTCCACTGATGTGGATTTTGAAGCGGTAGTCGGCCTCTGACTTGGGTGGCATGTGACCTTCTGGCTCACGATCGCATCGAAATGCGCAAAAGCTTTGCGAAATGCTAACCAAAAGCAGACACGTGACGAGCTGCGCCCCTCCTCGCATCTTGTGAAACTGAAATAAAACCAGATATTGGTTATAGGGCTTTCACATTTCAATAGTATGAATTATTATTATTATTACATTATACAGTATTATACAGCATGAAGATGGCAGTCTTCTGGGTTGTTGCGCCGTGTAGTCTGGTATAAGTTTACAGCTTCCTCCATCGTCGCCCTGACGATGGAAGTAACAAAGACCACTGAAACGTCGGTAAACATCGACCAGACTACACAGCGCAACAACCCAGACGACAGAAATCTTCATACTCTGATGATGGAGGCAGTATGACCTCTGAAACGTTGGTTAACATCGACCAGACTACACAGCGCAACAACCCAGACGACAGAAATCTTCATACTCTGATGATGGAGGCAGTATGACCTCTGAAACGTTGGTTAACATCGACCAGACTACACAGCGCAACAACCCAGACGACAGAAATCTTCATACTCTGATGATGGAGGCAGTATGACCTCTGAAACGTTGGTTAACATCGACCAGACTACACAGCGCAACAACCCAGACGACAGAAATCTTCATACTCTGATGATGGAGGCAGTATGACCTCTGAAACGTTGGTTAACATCGACCAGACTACACAGCGCAACAACCCAGACGACAGAAATCTTCATACTCTGATGATGGAGGCAGTATGACCTCTGAAACGTTGGTTAACATCGACCAGATTACACAGCGCAACAACCCAGAAGACATAAATCTTCAGTATAATTAGTGACTGTGCGCAGTCTGATTATATATATCATTATTTTTGTGACGCACGTGCACGTCCACATCAGATGTTGACTGTACTGAGGCAAGTCAAATAGGCCTACTAGAAACTTGTCCGCCCCCCGCCCGACTAATTGCTCCTGAAAATCCAGACACAGGCCCCCAGCTCTATCAGTCATGGAGCTACGAAGTGGGAGAAGGTCGAAGGAATGAAACAATGCTGGAAATGATACATATTGTGTGCTTGTCATGTGCAGAAACTAGTTGACAGAGAGGCTTTGTGAGCGACACCATGTGGTCCTGGGTTCAAGACAGTGACATGTATGCATAACCACCCCCCACCCCCTCATCCCATTTTCATTTCTATTCATTTGGCATATCCATCCATTGTTCACGATGTGCAATGGGCAGAATGTGCCTTACGACCTTATCGGCATACGTCACAAACCGGTTTCACAAACGAGACTTTGTAGACAAAGTCATTATGATAAAATCAGTACATCTTTTGTGGAGGAATTCTCTCTATCAAATGATATGTTCATTGTACATAATACTACTCGTTTCATACTAACTACTGTTCATTGCAATAAATGTATTACTACGTGTTCATCTTCAATTACCTGTAATGACTGCCACTAAAATAATAGAAATTTTTCCTTTACAATATTTTTCGCTTAATTAAAGACCTTCGCGAAACGTGTCCTTTTGTAAAACTAAGTGTCCATTATGTTCTTCGTTAACACGTAAATGTTAACAAACAATCAAAACACAAAGTTTGAAAACACAATATACTTTTCCCTGTTAAAACTGAAAAGTCCACAGTTTTATGGCTATTTTTGTAACAAATCTACGCAAAGAAATAAATGAATAAAGAATGGATTAAGAAAGAAAGAGAAACAATAGTCGGAAATACCTGTAGAGAAAACGCAACCAATCAGAGAATTTTACGTTCACCCTAGCAGAGAAATGTGTTGGTATAAATGAGCGAATGTTGCTGTTGGCTTTCTGCCCAAAGGGGATGAAGTCTGTCCTGGGCCAAGAATAAGCTACTGGAGTGGGCTCTGTGCTATGGAAACCAGTTCGCTAGCAGCGGGCTTTGAAAATGAAAATTCCGGATCAAAAGCTGTCAACAAGGGATTTGCATGTGCAATAAATAAATATCAGCACCAACTGGGAAGTCCGAAATCCCAAACTATCAAAAATCTCACCTGGAAGCCCTAATATTACTTAGCCAGGAAATATATTTTTTCTAAATATTTAGTTAGAATGTATAAGTTTCCTAATGTTTTTTAAATCGATAAAATGGCGCAATTTGGGTTAAAAGTTTGAATATAAGATCAATTATATAAAATTAAATATGCAAATTAAAAACTTAAATAATTGTTAATATCACATTATTATCAGTAATTGATTATAGTTTAGTAATTAGTTAAAGCATAACAATTAACTTATATTTGAAAGTTGGAAGCAGAAATTTGTGACAATAAAAGTAGCGGTGGTCTAGCGATTAGAACGTTGGCCTTGTAATCCTGGGGTCTCGGGTTCGATTCCCGGCGGTGCCCGAATTTATAACTTGTGTTGGGCAAGGCCGTGGTCTAGGCAACACGGAGTTTTCCTCCGGGGGCTTCCCCGGTTTCTCCGTGGCATCCCAACAATTACTCCATTCACACACAGAAGAAGGCAATGGCAAACCACTTCTGGATCATCTGCCAAGAACGTATATGAACAGGTCCCAGTCCGAGAAAAGGATGGAAGGATGCTGTTCATATGGACCTGTCGTCTGACAGAACACTAAATAAATAAACTGTTGGTACAACAATGGCTATAAAGGAGTCTCGCCCCACCCCCTCCCTTAAATAAATTCGTATGGACTCCGATTGAGGCAGTGTGCCACGAACATCAAAAGTCTAGGCAGAATACAAAATTCTGAAGGCGAACCCAATTAAAAAAATCCTCTCAGGCTATATGCCGTGTCAAATGGTTAAAATATCTGCGTAGCCAAGGTCCTCCATCGCTCACGGCTTACGAAAGCTGTGTTGAGTGTAGCTCCCTTTGTGGTGAAAATGTTCCATTAAAAATAATTATTTTAAGTAGTTACCCTAAATATGGACAGATGTTACAAGAAAATGTGACAGTGAAAATGTTAAAATACTATTAAATAAAACCCATTACGATCGGGGCAAAACCAAGTAAGAGTTCTATAAATAGGAGTAGGCTTATTATAAATTTCAGTTTTCTATTCTAATTCTAGCGTTACGTATAAAAAATCATTATCACAAGTGCGACACCCAAAGGTTGGGAACCACTGACGTAGGAGTCCAGTCATTTAACAACAGGTCAATGTCCACGTGCAGTGTTTCCGAAACCTGCAGGATTCACTCCTTATCACATTATCACAGACAGCACATGACCTCGTAAAACACTGGCAGAATCATGTAACGTGTTCACACCTGTTTCATCTTCCGACACGGATCCTACACCTCCAGTTTTTAATTCTCATTCCATGGTGTGGTGCTTACTGAATAGCAAATTAACAACTTTATGTCTTTGTATTTCTTATGCATCACACCTGAATACCTTAAAAACATCTTACAACGAAACTATTTATAGTCATTGAAATAAGAAGTTGCCCCTTTGTCATGGACGGAGGCAACTTCTCTGACGGAAGTGCTGAGCATGTAGTCTAAACATGGATTCGCAGGTGTTCGACTGCTAACTTCTGGCATCCCATTTCATTGGGACCACGCTCGTATAAACTGACCTTCATTACTCTTCTTGAAAACAAAATTAAATAAATTATGAACGTCTTAAAATAAACACTTTTAGACTTAGTGGTTAGTATTTCGTAACTAACTATACATTGCTTATCTAGCCAAAACCCGCTTTCTACGGAACCCGAAAGTTCATTACCGTGTTCATAAGAAACCGTCACTAGTCCCCATCCTGAGCCGGACAAACCAAATCCACACACTATGTTAGGTTAGGTTAGGTTAGGTTAGGTTAGGTAACCCTGTTTCCCTAATAAAGAGACCCGGTTGACTGCAACCCTCCCATTCGGCTCAGGTTCTGTAGTATGGCAGTGACCCCTCCCCCCCCAAAAAAAAAGAGAAACTTCCTGGCCAAAATATTAAGCATAAACACTCATATGTTTCTCTGTAACACACAATTTGTCACGTTCTTTACTGTTAATTCATGTGTCACATAAAAGTAGACGAACTTTCGTCGTCAGCGATAGTTCAGATGGTAACTTCCTTGTCTACGACGCACGTGAGGTTGGATTCGCAGTAACATGATATTTTTAATCACCCTGACTATAATGGCTTTGGAGGCCATAAAAATCCAAGTGTTAAGTTTCTGCGATGGGATCTATGAACTTACACATTACCATCAGAGTACTTGAATAGCACACGGCTCCCTTTTAAAGTACACATATTACTTACTTAGGCTTACAGGTATACAACTAATTCCGTCATAAGCTGACTTAATGTTATTTATTCGATCATACTATTCTATTTAGATTCCTCAGAGGTTCGTCCTGTCACAAGAAGATGGCTGTCTTTTGGGTTGTAACGCCGTGTAAGTCTAGTAGAAGTTTACTGATGCTTAAGAAGTGCTTGCTGTCTCCATCATCAAGGCGATAACGACCTGAGGACGAGGAGGAATATGACTCTCGAAACGTTGGTGTTTTCTCCATTAAACCACCTGACACGACCGGCAGCCGAAAGCTTCAGATCATACCCCTCAATTTCAATTTCATGGTGTATGTTTCTCAGTTCAGTGAAAATTTAATGTGCGCGTAATAAAATAAATGTAATCTTTAGCGAACATGAATTAAAAACCACTTGACTGGCCTTTCTTTTCTCTCTCCCCGGTACTCAGCTGGCTGTGCTGCACCAAGTCCATTCACCGAATACTCGACAAGCATCTCACGACCACTCGTATTACAGAATCACAAGCCTGTTTCAGCCGACCTCATTCCCTAGGAAACCAATCCACAGCCAACAGGCATGTTTCTTCAGGTATAACACATTTTACTTGAACTGACACAATAAACTTGCCTAAATCGAATTTAGATCAGGACACTGGTTATTTTAATTTTATCGTGGTTTTCCTCGGTTGTTAGTCTGAAGTAGATCATAATTGATACAATATTTTATTTTCCGTCTATACACAAACTTAAAATAATGTTGTTTAAAATTACTTAAAATTATAACATTCTCAGTAGATACTGCATCTTGTTACATTTTTTGTATCGACGACATGTTTCAATGTGTATCACATCA